AAAGTCTATAAATTTAAAATCCATGGAAAATTTTTTGCCTGATTACAAATTTAACTAACAAATGTTTTTACAATTAGAAAGTAATAAATAAATAAATCCGTAGTCCACTATAGTGAGATGTTTGGACTGCATCTCAATGTCTCCAATACCAAACTATTGGTATTGGATATATATTATTATATGAGTCTTTTCTAAGACTCCAATAAATGCACACCTGCGTGTCAAGGGACAAACAATCGAACACGTGACCTAAATAAAGTATTTAGGAGCTAATATCAATAGTCAGTGCGACCCGAAAAGAGAAATATTTTCAAGAATTGAGCAAGCGAGAAAAATCCTCGTGAGAATGAAATCATTTTTTACAAGACGAGACCTCAGTGCGGAACTCAGAACTTGAATGGCCAGATGCTACGTCTTCTCTGTGTTAGTCTATGGATGTGAGAGCTGGACACTGGATTCACAGACCGAAAAGAGAATAGAAGCCTTCGAAATGTATGTATACAGACGGATGCTGCGAATCTCATGGGTACAAAGGATCACCAACGATGAAATACTCCAACGCATGCAGAAACAAAAAGAGATACTGAACACCATCTAGGAAAGAAAAATTCAATACCTGGGTCATGTGATGAGAGGTGGTAGATACGAAATACTGCGCCTCATAATAGAGGGCAAAGTGCAAGGGAAAAGATCAGTAGGAAGACGCCAGAACTCATGGCTAAAAGATTTGAGGAGATGGTTTGAACGCTTGTCTGCGGAAATCTTCCGGGCTGCAGTTTCCAGAGCCACAATTGCCATTTGAATCGCCAACTTCGGCAGGAGAGGGCGTGATAAGAAGAAGAAAGTAATAAATAATTAAGTAAGTGGGTAATAATAATATTAGTAAGTAATAAAAATATTTTTATCAGTTATAGCTTTTGTTCTATGTAGTTTCTAAATAAAATTGATACCTACTACCTTATGTTTGAACTTATAAGTACAATTACGTTTTTTGAAACATATATAAATTGATTCAATCATATTTACACATAGACATGTAGGTCAGATAATAGTTGACCAGACAAATAAATTTAGAAACAATTTTATACTATTATTTATATAATACTTTCTTTATTGGTTTAATTTTAAATTTAAAAATAGATAACTGCAAAGTTTATTTATCAAAATTTACAAAACATAACTATACAATTTAAATTTTCTGACTGAATTGCTAATGAAATTTTGTTACCAACGGACTTAAGTAAAAATATCTTTCATAAACATCATTAAAATGTACACAGGCAATTCTGGTTTTGGTTTTAAATTTTACATATTATTGTATTTTATAATTAAAACAAATTTTAAAAAGTTTGAGATGTTCCAACGCTGGTCTCATTTTCTAATGACATTAAAATTTATTAAAATATTGGATACATTGAACGAGAACAAATTAAAAAATATAGTATATAGTTCATATCAAATAAACTTTTAATCACGTGATTAAGCTTGACCGGCACAACCTAGCCCATTTGAATATATTTTCTTTTAATCAAAATATTTGAGGAAACAAAAATAAATTAATTATAAATGTATAAACAGTTATTATTTACTTTATTTATTATCAACAAAACTCACCGCTTTCTCCTTCAAAATATTCTAATAAAATTGAATGAGTGATTGAATTGAGTATTTACGGCTATTAAGCTATTTTGCACACCTCGCACTAAAAGAGGTTCTAAAAAGAACAACGTTTGTCTGCTGGTCTGCTAGTAAACATTTTTTTAAGCTTACAGTATCACAACACCATTAATTTAAACCAAAAACTCGTAATACAAAAATAAAGTGTCAAAACGAATGACAATGTTAAGAAATAAATAAATAAATGTAGCAAGTTGACATTTTTTACAGCAGATTTACCACCCCAACCCCCGGTGGGAAATTTAAATTCCAGTTAGTCCGCCCAGCGCCGAATATGTCCGTGGTTGGCAACAATAAATTTAAAAATCGCGCCCTCGATGACGTAACTAAAAATTTAATTGGTATCGAATATACCGATTTGTTCATTTTAGAAGTGTGGTCTAGATTTTAACGTGTAGGACAGAGAATAACGACCGGTTGACATACGGAGAGGCAAAATCGAAAGTGGCATACAGTGTTGCCGGTTTTTCCGTTTGTAGGTAAATTTGTGTAGAAAAAAAATAAACTATTTTAAAAACTTTCATGTATACTACTGAAATGAAGATAACATATCTAAGCTAAATATAATCTATTACATCTGTAGTAAAACGAATAACTAATTGTGAAGAATAAGGTTCCATCCCTAGCTGCAACCTTTTCCATAAACGCCTACTTGTGCGGTTTGAACTTTTGATGCAAAATCTGCCTTACTGCCGGATTTTAGAAGAAATGTATCAACCCGACTTTTATCTCTTTTTAATACATTTTATTTTCCATTAAGCTGCCTCCATCACTATCTTCCACATTAAAATCCAGACCACACTTCTAAAATGACCAAATTGGTATATTACAATATTTTATTAAACCAAATCCAAACGATACTGACCTCTCGAAATACAAAGCTTAAAATGCCGGGTTAACAAATTTCACCTCGTTTGCACATTGCAAATTCCAGGTACGGAATGGTACAGACTATTTATAAAAGTCCCATATAATTGCATGCTTTAGATGACAATCGAATTACCGAACGTTGTTATTTTGCCGGACAGCAATTAAAAAGGCAGCAGGTCAATGGTGTATGTTTTAATGTCAGGTTTAAATCTATATATACAATCTAAAATCTAAGATTAGAAAATAAGTTATAATAGGCATGGAAGAAAGCCCAATTTTAAATAAAATAATCTCTTCTAGATCATTCATTCTCTTTCTTTCAGATGGATCATTCACACTTTCTGTTAGGGTCCTAGAAGTATAGAATTCTTGAAAATAGTAATAAAAGTGTAAAGTTTTGAATAGTATTTTTTATATGACTAGAGTTTCCATACGTCCGGATTTTCCCTTAATATTTTGCGCTGGATGTATACCATACCTAATAGTAACACCCATGATTACTTATGGAGCAGTTGCTTGGGACACAAAACGTACAGCAAAGCAAAACCTGAGCAAAATGCAGAGACTGGCATGCATCTGCATAACAGGAGCCATGAAAACCTGCCCAACAGCAGCAATAGAGGTCATTCTAGACATAACACCACTGATGAAAACAATACTAGAAGAATAATTGTCAGCTCAGAAGCTTGGAACACTCTCAAGAAGAAGAATTCTGCTCCTCCAACTCCAAGTGGATGACATATCAAAAATGTTCAACTTTGAGAAACACCTCACTGTAGTATTGACAACAAAAAGAATTGGAGGGATGGATGGAAAGATGCGTAGATACAACTTAGATAGGAACTGTCAGAAAAAAGAAATAGCCATTATATCCTACAGACAAGCGGCCTTAAAAGCGATCAACTCAGTAACCATCAACTCGAAGTTGGTCAAAGATTGCCTAGAGAAGCTGAACAAATTAGGCAAAAAAAATGATGTCTTCCTACTGTAGGTGCCAGCCCAAAAGGGTTAGAAGATAATGAAAAAGCAAACGATCTAGCCAGAAAAGGAGCGAACACTCCACTAACTGGACCAGAACGTTCTGTTTCCCAAGTGGAAACCAAATTAAAGCAGAACTGAAGAACGTGGAAGACTCCATCTCGGCGAAATCCTCCAAAGGCATTCGAGGAAATTTCTCAGGGCTCGCGACCAACAAAAATCAAAGATTTTCTTTCATTTAAGTAAGAACATTCAAGTAAGAATATTCGAGTATTGTCAAGGGGTTTTTAACAGGACACAGTCGCCTCAGTCCTCAGTCAATACCTCAGTAGATTGAAGCTAAGGGACAACGCTAAATGCAGATTCTATGGGGAAAATGAGGAAACACCAGTACACCTCATCACTGAGTGCGCCGAGATGATGATACTGTTGCGAGCCGGTGTGGACTCGACCTAACCTCACAATATGGCCCGCCCTCGGATGACCTTAACATCGCATAGACACCGCAATGATTCATTCGTTCGAGAAGAATCGAGACCCACTAGAATGGACTAGTACATACGAGAACATTCGAAAACCTTCTCTATGCGCCTAACGATCTATGGACTATTCTAGATTTCTTTTGCTGTAGGTATAAAAGCCGGCGGCAGTGGCCTAGAGAGGGCAGTTATAAATATACCAGTGCAGTTGACGCGCTAAAATTCAAAATAAATTCTTAGTTATAAATCGTTTGTAAATAGTTCTATAAGTCTTTTATCGTTATTGTTTTTGTTAATTAGTGTTAAATAAATAGTGTTTAAATAAATTGTGACTTTCTATCCACACGGAACCGACGAAAAACGTAACAATACAATAATAATTGGAAAAGGTTGAACAGGCTACACCATAATAATTGGAAAAGGTTAAATAAGCTGAGAAATATGATATAAAAATTGAACCGAAGGAAAAGGGAAAACTGAAATATTAATCTATAAAAACGTAACATATTTTTAAGTGTAGAAACTAACCCTTTCAAATAAGATTAAATACGAAATTAGACCTTCGGAAATTAAACTTTAAATTAGGGTCTGGAGATTGGTTGAAGCTTCATGCGAATGTAGGCATAAAATGAAATTCCAGTTAATATTATTATCACAGATAACACATAATCCAGATGGCTCCTTACTTGTTAAAAATTGTCACCCTAATTTCACTCCAATTTGGAAAAATATTGGAGTGACGTTTGAATAATCTGAAATTTTTAGATTTCTTTTCTAACTTTTTTGGGAGGTTTTGCTTCTCTTGCACAGATGTCGCTTGCACTTCAGTTGCGTGGTTGCCAAACGTTATATCGAAATATATTTCATTTCATTATGAATATATAAAATTAAAGGTACTATACCAAATTAAAAATTATGTAATTTATAAACATGAAATAGATATGTTAAATTAATATATAAATATTTAACTTAATACGTTCATTATTATTTTATTAATCTATCGTCACACGTCAATTACCAGTTCCCTAATTACGAAAAGTTTCATATGACATTAACCTCAAAAATGATCTTTGAAAACAAACAACAACAAACAGAGCAACAAATGAACAAATAACTACATAATGACTGATAATGATAAGTGATTATTATTATCACTTTAATGATATGAAGGCTGATGAAGGTAATTATAAACATTATTTCGAGTTTGTTTAATAAAATATAGGATACAATATAACTAAGCAAAATCAAACAGTTTTAGACAACCAATACAAGATTTTAGAACTTGACATCGTGATAAACAAATTGTACATTCAGGAACTCGTTTAAATATTATAGGTAAGTAATATTTTCACAAAACTAAACATTTTAGCATAAAATCACAGATAATATATAGAATATTACCTGTGATAAAATGTTAATACTGATGTATATTTATTCTAATCACATTTAAATTTAAACTCAAAATTTTCATAAAAAGAAAATGATAATTTTTCGTAAATATAAAGTAAATAGTATTACATATTTCAGGTTGATTGACGAATACTCTACAGTTGATTAGAGCCCATGATGATGCGAAGATAATTAATATCACCTAAATTCAAGAAACCAGCGTAAAGAAGTTTACATTCACAACTCATCTAACCATTATAGGTAATAATATACAAAATTAGTCATTTTTGATGATAATATTAGGTACTTAGGTACATTTTTATCTTCTAGATCAGTAGTGTCGTCATAATTTAAATGAACTCACAGATAGCAATGGGGCACTGCACCGAAGCAGTATTACAAAATATGTGAAATAAAACTGTAATACAAATTGCTCTATAAAATTTAATAGAAATAAATTTATTTATGAAAATTAAGTTATTAAGTTTTATTTTTCCTAGAAATTCCTATTATGAACATCAATTTAGAACATTACAGTTAAAAAAATATGTGTTAGAATAACATATTTTTAATAAAATTGCAGCTTTTAATTTTTATACTTTTTTGCTTTTATATCAATAAGAACTAACGTAAGGAACAATTCATATTTATACTATGAAAACACATGCATATTTTTTGATGTTTTTAAAACCAGTGAATGATGTTGAAATATACTACACATTCTTATTAACTAACTTTAATTACAAACATACACTATTGTCATTGGAAATAAATTAATTTAAGAGCTTTTCTAATAATACTTTATTTGATATACCATATGATCGAAAAAACGGCGTCAGCGATGGCTATGAAATGAAGATCGCTGTCATTTTAAATGTAAATTTATATGGCAAATGTCATCGATTGCCATTTCCCAGCCAACTGGACGCCGTTTTTTTTTTTTGATCATACGGTATAATATGTATTCCCATCTGTTAATCTTTTTATTTTAAGGAAGATTTAGGAAGGTTAGCTTAAAACATGTATGTCGATCAATTATCTTTATATGTCGTTTGTAAAAATATTTTACAGTAGTAGAAAATAAAACTGTTTTTAAGGCGAACAGCTTCTTTGCTAAAAATATTTTTTGGTCCCAATACATAATGATTTACATTTTTTTTAACTTCAAATAATGAATTTAATGGAAAAATTGCAAGTCATAAAAACGTTCTAAATATACAAATCTATCCATTTTTTCCATATCGTTGCTCCAGTTTTTTGTCAAATTAACGAATATTAGAAATAGTTTATTTCAACCTCTTCAGCTTATTTTAAAAATGTTGACAAATAACAAAGAATACACCCCTTAAAGTTTCGCATTTGTCTTGATATACTCTGTATAAGACAACAGTAAATAACTTGTAATATAACTTCGAAATATAAATTTGAAATTAAAATAATGATTTGTTATAGTGATTTACGTTTTATTAATTTTGATTTTTTTTTCTTAAATTTAATTTAAAAGTGATTTACGTTATTTATTAATTGAAACGTTTAAAATTTGAATATACGTTCAAATTTTTTTTTTACAATAAATTTGTTTATGATAAATAATTTTATAATAAAAATATGACCGAATTTCCTGGAAAGTTTGCCAAATTTGTACATATGAAAACCTAGCTTTACCACTTATCACAGAAAATCTCTATTCCTTCCCTTATCACAGAATAATACAGGAACGAACCATATGCGACAAGGATAGAATATTTAGATATGTCGTTACTGTTTTTTGTTTTTAATGGATATTTTAAAAGCCGGGTAATATATGGTAATCTGTGATGGTAATATACTATATACCTTTGACTGTCTTTGATTACAACTGTGTGATTAGTGATAATTATTATTAAAATATCTGGTAATAAGGTCAATTTTACAATTGTGGGATTTCTCGGAAATCAGGTGTACATATGTTTAAGTTTCATATGTCAAAGAGATCCTAATTTATGTACAAAGTGGATAGAAAATTGTGAGTTCATTCATATAGATTTTTTTTGCACATTTTGTATGTAAAAATACGGCGTTAAGTTACCTTAGAAATGGTGATCGATGGCTTTTACCATATACCGTATGATCGAAAAAAAAACGGCGTCAGCGATGGCTATGAAATGAAGATCGCTGTCATTTGATATGTAAAATTATATGGGGAATGTCATCGATTGTGATTTCCAAACCAACCGGACGCCGTTTTTTTTCGATCGTACGGTATAATTTAACACATTAAGAGTTGTCCATCGTTATATTTCTATATCTATGCAAAGTTTACGATGGATAAATCAAGCAATATTAAGTGGATGCAAATTATAAATGAATCAGTGAATATAAACTGTTATAAATTATAAGTAGGTAATGCAGTTAGTGAATATACCGTACGATAGAAAAAAAAGGCGTGGGAGTGGGCTTGGAAATGAAGATCGCTGTCGTTTAATAGGTATGTAAAATTATATGATAAATCTTATCGATTGTCACTTCCAAATCAACATGACATGCATCTGTACATCATTAATCTCACGAAATCCCGATATTAAATTCCGGGATCCCGAAAATCCCATAAAATTTAAATGTCCAATCTAAAATGATTCGACTTTATACACCTTTCAAAGATCAACAAAACAAAGTAAAATTCATATTTAGTATAGATCCAGCAGACGAACTATAAGTAAAAAATGCAGTTTCAGACAATAGTTTGGTTTGGTTTGGTCGAGTTTTGTTAACACTGTCTAGTCTGGGCTTTTTTTATTTGATATATGTTAATCAAATAAAAAAGCCCAGACTAGATAAAATCAGGAGCTAACTAATAGAATAATATCAATTCTCTTTGATGTAGGATAAGTTTCTATTTTCGGAAAATTTCTTAGATTTTTTTTTGTTTCAACTCTGACGAACTGACACAAAATGATAACTAGTTGCTAAAGTTGAACTAATTTGACAGCTATGTTGAAGTAACGTCAGACATATCACAGCCACCCTAGATTTTATCAAATAATAAAGATCTATTCACACTAAATCATAGAAATGAAAATATCTAGGAAAATGTTTGTTTCAGGGGTAGGCCGGCAACCTTAATAGTATTTTGAAGTGACATGAATTTTCCATTGAATATCGGAATAATATTCTGGGTAATTCAATTAAACTAAACGAGTTATACAGGGTGGGTATTAAAGGAGTTATACAGGTTATACCAATGTTCAGCATTAATTTTGCCTCACCCTGTATAACTTTATGGGTCAGATTTTAATTTGATTTAAAGTGCAATAGGGTAAATTCCAATTTAGGTAGTTTTTCTTGAAATTTAAAAATTGTTCTTCATTTTTAGAAAATCTTAAGTAAGTCTAAAACCTTACATTTCAGTCATATACTTCCCTAATAAAATTCACTTTTATTTTTCTCTTAGAATCTAAAAATTAATAAAGGGGGTATTCCAAACTTTTTTGGGGACACCCTGTAGAACTCTCTATATTTTTAAAACGTGCTCAGAATTAACTTACATATGCTCACAAAATTTCATTTCAATACGAACTCGTCGTTCTCCTTGGAGCCTCTGAGTTGTATGAGAGGCGCCACCCTGTATAATTTTTATAATTTTTGTGGAATTTTGTACAGGTGGATTTTGGACATTCATCTCCTAAGGGAGTGAAATAAGGGATGAAAATTTGTACAAACATTTGTTAAAATCGGGTTTAGAAGTATGAAATTCTGTTTGTTCCTTATGTAACGTAATTTAGCAATAACAAGCAATTTTTTTCAGAACGTCCATACCTCATTTCACCCCGTTAGAGGGCGAATTTCCAAAAATTGTTCCTTAGTGCTAAATTACGTTACATAAGGAACGTCTGCGCAAAATTTCATACTTCCAAAACCGATTTTAATGAATTTTTGTACAAATTTTCATCCCTTAATTCTTATGGGGCGAATGCCTAAAATTCGCTTCTGAGTACTCACTTTCATCACTTGAGGAACCTCTGTGCAAATTTTCATACTTCTAGGACAGATTTTTTTCAGAAAGTTCACCCCTCATTTCACCCCCTTAGAGGGAAAATTTCGAAAAATTGCTTCTTAGTGCTAAATTACCTTATATAAGGAACGTCTGCGAACAATTTTATACTTCTAAAACCGATTTTAACAAATTTTTGTACATATTTTCATCCCTTATTTCTTAAGGGATGAATGCCCAAAATTCGCTTCTGAGTATAACTTTCATCACTTGATGAACCTCTGTGCAAATTTTCATACTTCTAGGACAGATTTTTTTTCAGAACGTTCACCCTTCATTTCACCCCCTTAGAGGGAAAATTTCCTAAAATTGCCTCTTAGTGCTAAATTAAGTTACATAAGGAACGTCTACGCAGAATTTCATACTTCTAAAACCGATTTTGACAAATTTTTATACCAATTTTCATCCCTTATTTCTTAGGGGATGAATGTCCAAAATTCGTTTCTGAGTACTCACTTTCGTCGCTTAATTAACAATTTCCAAATTTCAAACTCCTCGGACTAATTTTAAAAAAATATGCAAAATTTCACCCCCAGTTTCACCCCTTAGTAGAAGAATTTCCTAAAATCGCTTTGTATAATCGAACTGTTAAGTTACGCTACTTAAGGCACCTCTGTGCAAAATTTCGTAGTCCTAGGACATGCTTTTTTTGTATACAAAAGTACCCCTCATATCACCCCTTTAAAGAGCGAATTTCCAAAAATTGCCCCTTAGTGTTCAATTACGTCAATCAAGGAGCACTCGTGAAAAATTTCATATTCTTAAACCAGATTTTAACAAATTTTTATGCAGCCATTCATCCCTAATTTCACCCCCATAGCGGTCGAATTTTCAAAAAATCCTTTCTTAGTGCTCATTTACATCACTTAAGGAACCTATGTGCCAAATTTTATTTATTACTATATAGATAACCTTTACCCTTATTTTCAGCTAATGAATATTAAGAGACAAATAATAAAAATAAAATCTAAATTATAAATTTCATGGCTATAAATAGCATACATATGCATCTAGAAATTCTGACTTTCAAACTTCCACTGCGACTAGTATTTTCATATCCAATTATCTAGTATTAAAGTCCGAATATACATTTTCCCTGGGTTTGACCGGGAATTTGCTTATAAATGTGAACAACCGGCTACGTCGCTTCACATCGCGTGGCCGTGGCGTGACTCCAAATTCATTCGTTTTAAAAATATTATTAGATTGGGCTATAGGCGCCCTCTGTGTCATTAATAGGGAACTGTCCCATCGAAAACATGCTGTTCCGTAAGCAATAGCCATCTGGATTATGTGTTATCTGTGTTATTATGTAGGATTCACTAATTATATTAATTAACTTATTAATATGCTCTACAAAATCTATTCAACACTAATAATGAAATATAATTAAATTAAAATAATTATAATACTATTTACCATTATCCCATTATTG